TTGAAAAGGTGCGAGGGTACACTGGCCGGAGCGGACGTGTGGAACATATATATATATATATATATATGTTCTGTTCTTTTTTTAAAGATGAGTTTGTGATCAGTTTGGGTTGATTGGATACGAGGACGTTCTTTGGAAGTAAGACACATGTGTTGCAAGGACCTTGTATGAAATAGTGCAACCACCACCTTCAGTTGCATCGCATCCCATACCTTGGATGCTGCCACGAGGAAACAAATGCTTGTCCAGACACTACAACACACTGGCACCAACTGCGAGACAACTCCATCATAGAGCAAGACTGTTCCAATTTCAATAGTCGGCACATGGTAGGATGCTCATGCGATGCAAAGCTTAAGTTTCCCTAAAAATCTCGGAGCCAACATGAATAGAAGCGCGAGCTATCCTGCGTCCATACGTAGTAACTTAGGTAGGGTACTAGCTACCTCTGCCTACTAGCTAGCCACTACCTCCTCCCTACGGCCTACCCCGGCGGGCTAAAAAGGGAAGTGAAGGAAGTGCCAAGGCAAAGGCAACAGTCCAGTGCTACGGGCATAGCTCCGAGGCAGACAGATGGGATGCTCCAGGGATTGAAATGGCAAGAGGACATGGATAGGCGGGAATTGGAATGGATGTTGTTTCTCGCAGTTTCGGCCATAGAATCCTTAGAGATATCCATTGGACAATTGCTCAAATTCGGAGTCTATTTGATCAGGAAGGGTGGCCTCTGGAGAGTAGATAGCTGAAAGACAGTCTCCTGAGATCTTTGGCATTTTTGCCGCACCACCTCTGCAACAACAGGTGTCAAAAGGGCAATACATGTAGATATCTCGCCAGCATCATTAGGTTTTGACGTACGCGGAAACTGTTTTGGGTTGTTACGATAGTGTTTGGGTAGAGGGTGAGCTGGGTGGCTTACAAAGGGAAAGACCAGAGTGGCACCTCCTCATTGACATTGTGACAACGTGCATATTACGGGTTGATTCCGTTTACTTTTATTTTAATTCTTATTGTTACTAGTAGTAAGGCACTTGTTTCTAATAGCTTCTTGTTACTACTAGTAAGGCACCTGTTACTACTAGCGTGGCACTTGTTACTACGCTCGGATTTGGGCTTGAGACGGTCCAAAGAGTGAGAAGCGCAGCTTTGACAGGTTCTTTGCAGCTTTGAAGAGCAACCACTCGAATCCCCGCTTAGATGAGGCCAGAGCGGGTGGAAGAACCAGTAAAAACACCCGTCCTGGAATCACTTTGAATGTTTGTGGTTCATACAAGTGTGAACAACAGATACAGATACTGGTATGTATACGGAGTATAGACATGTGATGTTGGTTTACTGATGTCTATATACTCACAAGTAAGGCAGGTTCCACCGGATGATTTAGATTGGTGGACACCAACATGGCACCATGGTTCCAGTGGCTGTAGCCGTAGCCACTTCGTTATTTGCTTTTCTTGTGCTCCCCACTCCGATAGTGCCACACCTGTCCAAATGGGCAAAATTCATTCACCGTGTTTGTTTTGATTGGGGACGTATCTTCCGGACTCAACTCGAGATAAGACAATCATGATCATGTGACGGTATACTACGTGATTCAGAAGCAGGTGTATAAGGGTCGAGTCGACTTGCCTGTCGTTGGACGTCAGCCTCCCTCTTCACACCAGGCCTGTGCACCATTTGCCTGGCCTTGCCTGTCCGTCGCAAGGCCAAACTCCACAACCTCTATCGCTCCTCTGGAAAGCCCTTCAAGCCCAACATCATGACCAAGGCGGGAGGAGGCTAGTAGTAACAAGTGCACCGCTAGTAGTAACAGGTGCCACGCTAGTAGTAACAAGTTCAAAAGGGGTGGCACGCCGCAGGGACCGCGTTGCGGACGCAGGAACGCAGCATATGGGAACGGTGCGCGGTCCGTGTCGGTCCAGAAGTGGACGGTGCAAATTGGACCGCAAGGAGTACGGAGTAGAGACCAACAAGAACTTGGATCTTGAACGGTTTGGGGATGTTTGGGGCAATCAAGCAACATAACACCAAGCACGTAGGCTGGCTGCAAAGGTATTAACTTCTTCTCCAGTGGACAAGGCATGTTGCAGGAGGCTTTATTCGATGTGAATTGCATGTTTTGGCTTCGTTACGTTCAACATTTGCGAACATTGCTTGCATTGCAAGTGGCACACTTAGCTTACATGAACATGCTTGCACCAAAAAAAGATTGTGTTTATGCAAATTGTTTCTGCATTTTTACAAATCTAACAAGCTCTTGGCCACGGACATTCTGAGTGTCTCTTGTGCTCTGCCGCTGGGCATATTTGTGCAGCCCACAGACCCACAGAGCACTGGACAGTTGCCTCAGACACCACGAGATGCGACGAGTGTCAGAGACTTGCGGGTAGAGACCACGGCAATTCTGAGCTGCTAACGCATCAAAGTGTGAGTGAAGCTTGGCCCCTAATAACTCTTACACATCTCGCAATCAGGGTACAGCAGACGGTCCATTTCATGCTTTTGTGGTGGTATTTCCTTGACTTTACTAACCTTACAGTCATGGTTTCCTCGCGTGTATTCATTATTCCGGTTTTTGAATGGCTCTTGTATCCTCCAACTACAGCTGCTCGCCAGCTTCGGCCTAAATTCCAGGTGTCATGGACTATGGGTAATGCATTCGCAGACCTCTGGGCGATTCTTTACCATGTTGGAAGCCTCAGAGTCCAAGTTCCTTTTGAGAATTTGTGCACCCCAAGAAGCATCAAGAAATGCTTGTCTGGCATCAAAGTGGGGCGAGCTTCTTGTGAGACACCTGTTCCGCATCATTGAGATTTGTCCTTTTGAACGACCCTTTGACCCACTCGCTCAGAAGACACCTCTATATAGTGATCTCTAGCAAGAGAAAGCAGATGGTCCCGTTTGATCCTCAGCTGTTTGGAGGAACATCGCTTTAAGATCTCTCAAATCCAGAGAGAATCCAAGTGGATCTTTAGCTTCGGGGCGGCGGGGCTTTTTCATCACGAGGCCAAGACCCCCGAGTTGCTCTTTGAAGTGAATCAGCTTTGTGGAGGACTCGGATGCCGGTTTAGCAGAGAAACGACCAAAGAAGCAGGGCTTCAGGATACTGGCAGTTTACAGCAGAACTCACCATACTTGCTGAAGTCTTCCGTCGCTTTTTGATTCCTAAATATTGTAGAATGGGCTAGAAGTTTAACATGCGTGTGTTGTATGTTGTTATGTTCCAGGACAAATAATCCGCGAAGCCATAGCAAGCCTGGACATTTTGTGCTTGCTTACCCCTTGAGATTGCAACATCGGCAACATAACATACGCTGCGGGAAGTCCAGTCTCAACTTAGAAAAAACATGTGCTTCAACAGCTCAGAGTATCTGCTGACAATATCAGCTGGGCCAGGGATTCTATAAACATTTTCATAAACGTCAGCATAAACATGCCATCTTGTTACATGTTTATTTTAATACATCGGAGGCCATCGCTAGTAGGTTGGAGGCCATCGCTCTTGGGATGGAGGCCATTGCTATTAGGTTTCATATTCTTCTCCGCAAAAGGGTGACTGAGTCAAATTATGCCTTGAATCTAGGAGCTTTCGCAGAGCTGGTGAAGGAAGAGTGTGATCCACAGGCGAGTTTGTCCCGGATTCCACGATTCAGGTCTCCCAAAAGCAACAGAGTTGCTTCTTTGACAGCCAAGATCTTCTTCCTCATTAAAATGGTTTGTTTGCAATGCTTGCGCCTTTCAAGTCAGTCATTGGATAAAAAGTAATGAGTCTTCGGGTTTTCGTGAGAAGTCTAAGTTTCTGACTTCAAGCCTTGACTTGTCAACCCCCCGCCTACAGCCCTAGCCCTCCACGGCTGGACCAACTATGACCAGCTCTGTTGAGGGTTCAAACAGTGGAGTCTGGAACCAGGACACGTGTGCTGCTTTTCTCGCAAGATGGGCTCGATTAGTTCAAACAGGTCAATTTCTGCAAGCAAAACTCACGATGCTTTTTTCAGTTCTTACTGCATTTACTTTCCTCTTTACCCTCCTCTCAGGACTAAGCGGACCCAAAAAGAGAGCCCTGCCCAGACTATCCTAGACGCCATGGCTGCCATCGAGATGCAAGAGGTGTCCTCCATGGAAAGAGGCCTTTCGACCCCACTGGGAGCGAGGCGTCCCATCGCAGCGATGCTGAACCCCAGCGCTACGCTGGCATGCACTTGCTGCTTTCTGCCCTTCGCCCTGCATATTGGGAGGGTCAAATCATCCGGGACTTCTCTCGGTTCAACCACGGGAGGAAGTAGAGGGTTTTGGCTTTTCACCATCTCTCATTTGGATTGTTTAGCACTGAGATCCCACCATTCAATTCCTGTATCCCTTCTCGCTGATGTTCAGTGGTTGTGACACTGTAGGGAAACGGATTCCTGTGGACGGTGTTGGAATGTTTGTTCGTTGCAAGGATCTATATGCTGCAAATCGTGGGCATTGCAAGAAGTGAGGCTCATAATTTTGCTGGCGTGAGCGCAACTCGTCCAAGAATTGACACAACATGTTGATGGCGTTTAGCTTGTTAGGGCAAGATTTCTGCTTCCAACTTGAAGTCTGTTGGAGTAAGGTGCTGATACCCTGGCTTCGGGAGCAGGATTTGGTGCGCAGCTACTTTGGGATCCTTGGACTTGCTTACCTCCCCTCCTTTGCTTGGGCGATGGTGGAATGCTTGCGCTCCAGTGCCGTAGATGTCCGAAGGCAAGCGAAAAGCTGGTCCGAATATACGACTTTGATGGCAAGCCTTATGTGCTTGTGCATCTTTGAACTCATTGCCGGCTTCTTGCTGGACATCATGGGCTCCAGCTATGTGAATGGCCTGAATGCCAATGACCCCTTCGCAGTGTTTCGCTTTGTTTGTGACAGCGCCTTGTCTGTTTTCATGCAGACGCGGCTTTTTGCCTATGCTGATCACATCATGGGCGGGCCCAGCAGCTGCACCAAGAGCTGTTGTCCATGTGGGCGACAAGAAGATCCTTCAAAATGGCAAGCGCCGCGCGGTGCAGGTAGCTGTGTGTTGCTGTCTTTAATGCTTCTCGCAGTGCGTGTTTATCACGACCTCATCCTGTTTCTGGGCTGGAAAGGACACGGTATGTGGCAGAATTTATCGAGTCCAGCGCTCATTACGTCAATTGCTCGGTTTTTTTAGGCCATCGCTAGGTTCAGATTCTCCGTATTCCGTCGTCCCAGGAGCCAGTTCACTGTGGGCAATCGTCCGCTTGGCCCGTGTGATGATCCGCTTCTTGATGGCAGGTGCCAACGCCATACGGAGCAAGGCCTATGCCAACCATCCGCTCAGCGAACACCTTTCTGCTCAAATGAGAAGCAACATGGCCACGCAAAGCAAGATGCTTGGATACGGCAGATTGTTGTGTTTGACATCTCTCGATGCTTCGTTTTTTCGTTTTCTGATTCTGTCCTTCGGATTTTGCATGATTCCAGTCTTGCCTGGTGGACATTTGTTGACGGCACTGGAGGAACGCTTTTTGGGGAAAAAGATCTGCGTCCCCGCGGCGACCCGATGCCAAGGATGTTGATGGTTGCAGGCATCTTGGCGGGTTGCCTCTTGGACGATCAGATCGTCGAACGGCAAGACCCTCGGAAGATCGGATCTAAAGAGGCTGAGGTGACACCTTCGAAGATTCAGAATCAGGTCTAGATCATTCTATACAAAATCTATGTATATATATGACTATATATATATATAGAGCTGTTTCGAGTCTAACTTGAAACAAAGAACAGGCCCTGCGTTCTCAGCTAGTTCGCGCGGCAGCAGACCGCACGCTTCTTCAACAATTTAAAGCGCTTTCTGCGGCGTAAACACCCAAAGACCTTGCTCAGGTGTTGACTTCGCGGTGGTTGCGAAGGGCTTCTCTGCACCGGATAAATACTTCCTTGACATCACGGACTTCGAACTGGACGTGATGAACAACCTTTTTACCCAGTGGCTACCAATTACTTTGCTCATCACTGGGATGCTAGGTCTGTGACGAGTCAACTTCTTAAACAGGATCTCCCAAGTCTTACATATTAGTTTGTGTGATTTTGTATGCGTGATATGTTAAACCCTTTGTTTTTCAGATGATTTTTCACAGCCCTTAAGGACCATCGATAAACGAGCTCCTCAGCCCCACATCAATGACTTGAGAGCTTGTGGCTTTGCGAATGGCTTGGTCATTTTCTTCCTCTACCTTGGAACCTTCCTCTTCGGAGCTTGGGGTGGTCGAGCCCCTCCCCTCGCATTCTTGGAAATTTGATCCTACATGGGCAACAGACATCTTCATTCCTTGTTTTCTAGTCATGTGAATGCCACCGGGAAATGTTTGGAATCTGAGGCCCTGCTGTTCCCCTTGTCGGAGAGTGCGGTGCAAGTGAGCCTGATCGGTGGACCGGCGTTGGTCTTGGCGAAGACGGGCGCTGGAATGATGTACTTTTGCTTGTCCATTGGCTGAAGAATGTGTGAAACAAAGGCCCCAAGGAGCGATGGCCTCCAACCTAGCCACGGCCTCCACCCTTGATTTGGAAGGGACATGATTTGGGAAACAGGGTGAAGCCAGTGAAGAAAATCCAAACCAAGAGGTAATGATTGCAGAGGATCAAGCTGAGGAATTTCCAGTTGCACCTGGTGACAGTACAAGCCTCGAATTCATCCACAACTAAGCCCGGGGGCAGACTTCCACCAAATGTTTGAGCTACTTGATTAATGAATCTCTCTATGGAAGCAATTTAATGAGTCTAATCTCTCCATGAAAGGGCTCCAAGTGCATTTCCTTTGGAAACTAGGGTAAGCAGGAGGCCAAAGGGGAAGTCGGGACATGAAAGGGCAAACTGCATCTAAATAGCAACTGACAATGCAATTCCTTGTGGGGGGCGACACCATGAAGCTACTTCACTAAATAGAAGAATCTTGGCAAAGCTGTTGATTAATGCATCCCATTCTTTTTGCTGTAAGGTCAATCTGAAACGATTGTGTAGCCCTTCCCAAACCGAATCACTATGAAAGACTAGGGCAAGAGTGGTCGCAAAAGATACTCATTTGATCGTTTTCCGTACTCGAAGTTTATAGTTCTTTAGATCGGATCAGAAGCTTCATTTGGCAGAGCTTCATCATTGTTTCTTGGACCCATAACAGGCCTGCGCTTTAAGGCCACGCTAGGCTACTTGTGTTTTTCAACACACGTCGGGCTGAGCAGCCACTCACCCTTGGAGAAAAGGGTGGAGTGATGGCCATCATTCAAGGAGAGATGGCCTCCACGCTGCTAAAGACATTGCAATCCACAGCAAATCGTTCCGCCAAAACTGAGGCCAGCTCTGTTCCTCACGGTCTTCCCGTTCGTGATGCATCAGGTACAGAAGACGACCTCCGTGACGATCCTCGTCTTTTGACGCGTCGCAATATGGGACTAGCGAGGGCTGTTGTTCATTTGCCTTTGGAACCGAAGCACCATCCTTCACCGCAATTCCGGCGGACACAATTCCCCAGTTTGATATCCTGTGGCTGATCAATCCGAGGATGCCCATGTGGCCAGGAGAAGGGCTCACCTACATCACTTACCATCGGAACGCTGCACATCTCTTCATTCTGGCCTTGACCGTGCATACTGGAGGTCACTCGGTACTGAGCAGTACTGGGTACTGCTTAACATACATATGTTCAGGCAAAGCTCAAAGGCTAAGTAATGTTGAGTATCAGATTTAACATCCGCTTCAAACCAAACTGTGTAATTCTGCTTTTGTTTCTGGACATGAGGCCACATTTGGACGTTTGCGAATGCTGGAGGCGTGGACGCCTACACTGGCGACCTTGGATGTCTTTAATAGGTCTTTGAAGATCTTGAATGTCCTTAAAGGCGCTCAAACATTCGCTCCCATGACCTCCCGAATTGGTGAAGCACCACAGAGTTGATCCCAATCTCAGGCACGATTTGGGGTGGGGGTCACTATGCATGGTTGTGGCCTTGGGTGACGGGATGCTTGCTGGTGACATTGGGCCTCTCGCTCTATGTGGCATACTGGGCATTGAAGAGGCTGGAACGTTCTGTTGGGTTGCGAGAACCTTTGCAAGAGCAAACAGCAGATGTTTTTTGTTTTATTTTTTGGAGGTTTGTTTACTCCTTTCTCCGTTCTGCTTCCACCAACTTTGGCAGTGTACATTTGTATTGGAGGAAGAGCAAAGTTTGCTGAGAGGCGTTGCTATGATTTCTTCATCCGGAACAAACGCGTGCTGGGTGTTGTGTTGTTGGTCTTAGCTGGCAGCCATGGCTTTACCTCCAACTTCGGCCAGCCGCGGCTTTGGTGGTTTTGCTTGCTGATCCTTTGCATGTGGGCCATTGACAAAAGGAGACATTTTTGTTAAAACAATTTTGAATGATTCTGGAAGCAATCTTTTAGCTTGCAGGATGCTGTATGATGGACAGAGTTTGCTTTGCTTTGTTTGGTGGCAGCACCCTGAAGAGGATCAAGAGTGAAGCGAGCGGTATCAGCTGTAGCCAAGAAATCGTGAAGATGAAGGATTCCAAAGGCGGGCACTTTAAATCTGAGATAAGCACGCTTCAATCACTAAGCTTGACTCACGCTGTAGGCGTAGCAAACATGCATGAAACAGACGTGCATGAGGATCATGTCGTACCTTGATGATGAGGCTACTCTTTTTAGACAGCACTAGCAATTCGGATGATTCCTAAGTTACGGCGTTTATGGCTGGGGCGCTGTGCACGGCCTTTCCGAGGAAACTTCAACGGTGCAATCCTTGTCTTGAAATCCAAGGACACACGTGAACATGTGTGTGTGTGTCTGTGCCACAGAGGTCAGTATGTGTAGGCTTAGGCTTTCGACTTGGCTTGAAGACATATTGAACGTAGCATGCACCCTAGTTTCTACATCTGAACAGTGGGAAGTTTGAATCCTGAACAAACTAGAGGGATCACACTGAGATGTTACAGCTCTGGTGAAGGAATCTGATTTTAAACTTGGTGATGCATCCCAATGCGATGAAGATCTACATCACACAGAAATCACATAGAGCATCACTGGTTGTACAGGGCTGTTTGCATCCCAAAATTAGACCGACTGGCCAGCTGGTAGGAGACTTTTCAAGAAGTGGAACCTGGCGCGGTTTTGCTGCAAGTGGTTGGAGTGAATGGGCGGCATCCCTTGACGCAAGTCGCCTACCCTTGTGGAACCGGGTGGAAGTTGGAGTCCTTTGGCCAATAGATTCTGGAAGGAGGGCGACATGTCGCACATGCTTTCCTTTTTTGATTGATTCCCATGAACAGAGCTCTAAGCATGCGTAAACACAAGTCAACTTGACACAGAGATCAGACACCCGAATCTCTTCCCAAATGTTCAGCAACGTGGACAAGGTTTTCTCATGTTTTCTCTTTCTTTCTCTGGTGGTGCGAACCAGCCACCATCGCACCCGTGTTTCTGTCGCCGACGTGGGTCCGTGTTCTCGAGCCAACGTTCCAAGCAGGGCTTTGTATACCGAAATCGCAGGTACCATATCCGGCTGATGCCGTCGGTGGAAAAGCAGAACTGGGCCCATCGGTTGTATGATCACGCTCGTGCGAGAGAAGGCTCCGAGGAAGGCATTGACTTGGAAGTCGCGGGACCTATGAGCACACTGGGAACCTTTGGGCAGGAAGAGCTCCTGAAGGATGTGCACCATATTATTTTGGTAGCTCGGATTGACCCAAAACGATGTATTTGGCTGGGAGTTATCTATTTCAGTTAAATATGACTGACTGACAAAAGATCATCTACTGAGGAGGATGAAATCCCACTGTTTTCAATTGGGTGATTGCTTCGGTGTGGTCGCAAATTGCTTTGCTCCGTCGCGGCACCTGTTTGGGATTTCTTGAAGGAAGACCCTGAGAACATTTGGAGGTAGGCCTTACAGTTTTGGCATCACGCTGTAATATGCTGTAATGAACAAAGACTTTGTCAAGGACCGCAGTGCGTTTAATGATGGCGCACGGCTGAGTGTCAGATACCCTTTGAACGCTTTTTGGCGCAAGCTGCAACAAATTCTTGCACCTTGTGCGCAAGAAGCGCCACTGCCAAAATTAAATACTATCCGCATCTGAAGGTCGCAGCTCCGGCATGCGCGAAGGTGTTCCCAACGACATGTCAAGACAAGTCCGGACTCTGCTACAACTGGACGAAATCATGAATTGAGCACCACGACGCGTTCGGTTTCCGACCCGGGGCAGGCTTTTGTCGATGTTGGTGATGTTGGTACATTTGACACTGAGGTGGCGATCGGTGTGGGCTTCACCGGCTGTGTGCACCCTCTTTTCCATGCATATCAAGAAGGCCTCCGTGCGGATCAAATCCGTCTTTGCATTCGGACGCCTTCTCCTGAGCAGCTGGGCTCATCTCGTTTTTTCTGGGATTGAATCAGACTAAATCTAGAACTGAGGTATGCTAACGTTGTGGAGGTGGTGTGTGGCGCGTATGGCCTACGTCGGAAGCAAGAACTGCACCTTTGCCAGAGTGTGACGAATAGAGCAAGGGGCAGGCATGGGCAGGCCAAACCCTCGAAGGAGTGCAATGGTCTAAATACTGTAATAAGAGGGCAATAGAGGGCACATTTTGAGGAAGCAATGCAATTACAGAACGGCTCCAAATATATCGGATACCAATTCAAAAGCCCAAGAAAATCCCCAACAGTTGCCCATCAAAATCTGCCTACTAGGCAATGGCACCATCGCCAGTTCGCCAACAAGTGTTGTATCTTTGCCTGGCAATGCTGTCTTCAAAAGTGCAAAGTTTTTCAGTGTACCACACGGCAACACGTCATAGTGAATATCATGTGCCCACATATGTGCAAGCACGACAGCGCCACTACAAGCAAGAACCAGCAAACATGCTCCTGAACCCGTCTGGAGCCTGCCAGCAAGTCAACGCGACAGCATGACCCGACTTCAGCATCTCAGGGTGACAACATGTCAGCATGTTAGTGTGACCCGTGCCAGCGCGCCAGCATGTCAGCGTGACACCACGCAAGCGTATCAGCGTGACAACACGACTCATGCCAGCCGACGGCATGGCAATACCTCCGCCTCAGGGAGACAGCATATGCAAAGTGCTCCCGAACTAAAGTAACAAGGACGCCACTAGGGGCTCCTGGCCTTACTACCAGGAACAAGAAGCTATTAGGGGCTCCTGGCATCACTAGTAGCAAGGACGCTACTAGGTTGGAGGCCACTGCGCTCCGGAACTTTCACCAGAACTTGCTGAAGCTCCGGAGCCTCCTCTGCAACCTCCTGAACCTGCTACGGGACCTCCGAAGTCTTTACTGTGGCTGATGATCTCTGAGCTTCGCTGTTGGGAACAAACTTGTGCCGCGCTTGGCCTGATGCCCCAGACAAATCTGCCAAGGTTAAATGGGGATGCTCATTCTATTCCCATGGCTGCAGTTTTCCTACTTGCTTATTAGTGCATAGAGCTAGTTGAAGAGTCGAACTCGAGCCCTTCACAGCCAATGAAACTCCCCGACAACTTGTGGCAGGGCCTCATTCCTTTGGCATCCTGTTGTCAAACAACTTGAACGACCAGATGCGCTGCTACCTACATGTTGAAAATAAGAGTTCTCTGACCGAAAAGGAACCACGAACCCAATCACCAACATCAAGGAAAAACAACTTGTTTTTCTCTAATGCGCTCACTTGGTGAACATTTCGCTTCTTTTCTGAGGAAAGTCTCCATCAGCGAGGACAGTGCACCCGGAGTGGATGTACCTGCTGACGAACGGCAAGACCGCAGCCAGTGGGGTAACATGCTGCGTCAAGAGGCCAGGACAAATGCGGGGAACACGGGATGCAGAGGCTCTCGAGAGGAACCATGCAGATCTGCCTCCAAACGAAAGACCAAGACCATGTCTCAGCTCCGCTGGTGTGTTGTGACAGGTGGAGGCCTTGTCTGGCTCGCGTGGAGGGCTTGTACTGCTCTTCACCTGTGGACCATCGCCTGCAGTAAAAGGAGTACAAAACCTCTTCTTGGACGACATGCGAGTTCGCATGGTGGCAGAGGCCTTCGGCTGAGTGCAAAGTTCCCGGCTGGGTCTCACCATGTGGGGCTTCACTGGCTGCACGTCAATTCGTGCATTTGCGGTTTCGAAGCTGATGCTGGAGTCTCTGGCTACCTCAAAGGAGTTTTAGTCCATGCTGTGTACGTTACTTACTATTACTTACTTGCAGGGCAAACATCGAACATCAAGCATCGGGTTCTGAAACCCTCATTGGATGGTCGAAGAATGGGAGCAGAGAGCAGCGGAGCTGCTGTCCACTCTCGAGGCCATGAGGATTGGTTTTCGGTTCAAAACGAATCCCAAAATGGGAGAGGAAAAGTGACAAGTACGCCAAATACATACAAAAACCAACTATGGCCCAAAGCTAATGCAGGCTGATGCACGCTGATTTGATTCAGAACTTTGCCCCAACGTGATTGCGATGGTTTCAAGATGCTGTGGCATTGGCAAAATGGGGCTTGCAGGATGCAGTCTGTGATGTTTCGGGCTTGTATGTCTAACATCCCATGGCACCCCATCTCTCCTACGGCGTGACGGAGAAGACTTAGTGCAAGCCGGAAGCGGCAGGATGTGGTGGGGCTCCTTCTTAGAACGCCTGAGGATTTGTACACACGAAGTCACGATGTTCAACCCTTTGCTTATTTGTGAGCAGGGCATCAATTCCATTTAGGTAGATGGTTGGCTTCAGCATGATCAAGCTAGAATGGGAGAGTCTCCCCTAAGCCTCGACTAGGCGATCGCAGAGAGTCTCCCTTCAAAGATGCAGGCAGAGATTCCGCATCAGATCGGATCACTGGGTTGGGTGGAACTGATGACATGGCTGTAGCCCACTAGTAGCGTAGCTTCTTGCTACTAGTAGCAAGGTGCCTCTCATAAAGAGGGTTTCTTGGCCTTGCCGAAACTTTCGGATGAAGGATGACGCCAGGTGGCCACATGACCACGACGAAACAGGATGACTTGGTTGCACATTTGCAAAGTGATGCAAAGAAATCACAGCTTTTAATAGCTTTTCAGGTGGGGGCAGTCTACGATTGCTTCTGCTACCTAGAGGAAGCCAGCAAGAAAGCTGCCGGGAAGCTTGCAGACGCGAAGCTCAAACGGTGGAGGAAGCAATTTTTCAACGCTGACTTAGTTTCTCAACTCAGATATCATCAGCTTGAATGAATTGTTTAGCCGAACTGAAGTGCTTGATATTGGAAGGGAAGCTCAACCTTCGTTAGGCCCTCATGTTTTGCTGACCAGCATTGCTCTAAACATGTCTTAGAATCTTAGAAAATGCTTAGAATTCAATATGTTCTTGATTGTTCTTGGCCCTCCTGGCTTCAGCCAAGCAGAATTCAGTAGACCGATGAAACTGACCTTTCGATGGTACCTCGGTCATCCCCTCTTCAAAATGTGCAAATCTGAACCTCCAAGGCGTATGTGTTGCTGCCCACTGGATCGGCCACTCCCTCTGACTGCGTGGGGACACCTCAGGGACCTGCAACTTCTTTGTGCACAAGATGTTACAGGGCTGGTGCGAAGGATAGAACTGGTGGACTTTGCAGAAGAAAGCACAAGCCTCCAAGTGTATTGTGAAGTTCACTATCGTTCACTGAAATCATCAAAAGCGCCAAGTTGCACCAACTCTTCGCACACAAAAGACAGATGTGCTTCATGGTTCCATCGGAGACAGGTTTCCAGCCGCATTTGGACGGCCGCGAGCGCCGCGAGCGACCGTTTCTCGCTGACCGCATTTGGTGCCAAGGTCCTTTGTGTGGTGGCATTATATGCTGGGCACCCAGTTGTGGTCGACAGACAGAGTTACACGTTTCGTTCGATTGTTTTAGTCTTATTGTCCGTTTCATTTTGAAAACAGATCTCGAACTTGCACAACTCTCCAAGCGGGATCGAACAGCCAGGATTGGTCCTCGGTTCCTGCCGATGGCTCGACATTAACTTCAGAGGCCTGGAGCCCTGCCTGTACGGCAGCGTCACTGTGCGATACTTTCAATTCGATCAGTTCTTGTACTAGCAATGGCCTCCAACCTACTAGCAATGGCCTCCAACCTAGCG